GATGCACAGAATTGACTTCTTTAACATTGAATTAAAATGGCATTTGTTTAAATAATATAGCTGAGATACTCTTTAATTAGAATTGCAGCATATGCAATCACAATATTATTGACCTCTTCTCTCTGGGAGAAAGCTGTAATGTAAACGTGGACGTTCATTATCATGCTAGCCTAAGAAGCTGGATAAACCCCTGAAAGGCATCTGCTACTCTTCTAACACTGCTTCTCCTACCACATACAGATACAGCTTTCATCTCTGTGGTAGTCCATGTTGTAAACATCCTTCTGTGAATTCCTCACCCAATTATGTTTTCTGGAGGCAGAAGACCTATGGCCTTCCAGTATTGTTTAGCCTTTTCAGGCATGTGCAGCTGGGGGAAGGGAAGGAGATGCTTGCTGCTCACATATTTGTTTCACAGGGCTGCCAGCTGACCATCCTCATTTCTGGCCAGTGTTCATGGAAATCAATCTGTTAATTTAACAGTATGACACCGGATAGTTTCTTGTAAGATTCTGAGTTGCTTAATGGAGTGCTAGGTTTGATAGACAGTGATTTGAAGTGCAGTGTTTTGTTTGTTTTTTGGTTTTTTTTCTTATGCACTGATTTTTATTTACAAAATGCAAGACAGATAATAGATATGGAAATTTGTAAAGCACCCACTAATTTCTTAAGGTGAATATAGTTTCCTCTTAGAAATTCTATTTTTTTAGATAAAAAATGAGTAAAAGCTTGGAGCTTGAAATATTTGACAAGTCAAAGAGCTCTGACTGCATTCCACTTCTAACAGGCAACATTGAAAGAATAGAAATTTTAATCTCCCCATTCCAGGAACTTTTAAAAATTAAACACTAGAGTGGATTTTGCATATTTGCCTAGTAAGAAAATAGCAGATGGCTTAGCAGGAAAATACTACTTTTCCTTTAGAACTGTAGAGATTTTACTGCTTTTCCCTTTTACAAATCTGCAAGTCAGGAATGAATTACTGTAACTGGGGGAAAAAAAAATCAGTTTTCTTCTCATGGAAGCAGAAAGCTCTTATCAACTTTCATGGGACTCTGGTGACCCTTTGAAGAGGAATATGCCTCTAAAAATATGGACTCTGTTCTATTTATCTATTTGTCTATAATTCTACCCTCTAGATGATGTAGTTTCAGTCTATTAGATTTGCACACTGCTTTTAAATGATGCAGCTGTTCCATGATTTCACTGGGATACATGTGCTGGATTTTTTCAGATTGGATCTTGTAGCATCCTAAAAATACTTGGTTTAGGTCCAACTAGTTGTATTTGGGCTGCCTGCTTGTTAATATTTTACAGAGCTCCTCTCTGGCTCATAACATACAGCAGTACTCACAGAAATTGTGAATGAGCACAGGAGCTTAGGAATACTGTCATGGGTGCAACTGTGTAAAAAACGAGGGAAGAAAAAGTAAATGGATGGTCATGGTTACTTTCAGAAAAAGGGAAGATTGCTGCCAATTTTCCAAGCTTGTCATGAAGGGCGCAATATGTTAATCTGTGAAAAAAGGTCATTACTTTAAGAGCAGCTTTTTAATAGTTGAAAATGTTGAAGTTCTTGGCAACTGAGAATAGGAATTCAAAGTACAATTTTCATTTCAGGCTGTTGTAATATTGTCAGGCAGATGTGCTTACTTCAATCCAAATAAACTTTGGATTCTTTTAAAATATGTCTCATCTTGCTCAGTGGCACATTCTTTTCCCAGGTGGTGGGTTTGGGAGTAGAGCTCTGTAACAGCAACCCCTGCTAAAACTTTATGTTATTTGAAGTGATGGGCTCTGGAATATTCCAGTTGGTAGAGAAGCCAGTGGGAGGCGAGGGAGAGAGGCAGGGGAGATGAGGAGGATATGTCAGAGCTGGGTTCAGCTGTGCAGGACTCCCAGATGCCTCCCAGGACTCACGAGAGTCCTGCCCCACTGAGGCAACCTGTGTGGCCTCCAGTGTCTCTGGAGCATGCTGGTGAGGCTTCCTAGCCTGGCCACAAGCTCATGGTGACATGCATGTGGTGGTGGAATGACATGAGGAATTTGGAGGTCGGCTGATACTGATGTTACAAGCAACCTGCCTTCAGGCTTGCTTCTCCTGATGCAGGATGTTGCCCTCCCCTTTGGGAGGATGATGGCCCTTCTCCTGCCTTCCCTATGCAGCACTGTCCACCTGACCTTAGGGTATTGCTCCTCAGGTGTCATGGTCTACCCTTTCTATTCCTCTACCTTGGTGGTAGAGTCCTCCAGCAAAGGTGCTGTAATCTCCTTGGCAGGAGCTGCTCAGCATGACCCCATAGCACCCCTGTGGTGCTCCCTTACTCTCCTCTCCCTCTTCCCCTAGTTCCCCTGTCTTTGCATACCGTGCTCACCTTCCCTTGCTGCTCCTTGAGCCCATAGTCCTCTTCCTCTTTCCTTCCAAAAAAACCCTGTTGCCTGACTTGCTCCAAACTCTATCTTTCCACAAGGGGCACTGTGCTCCTTCGGGAGCCCAGGCCTAATCCCATGCTTTCCCCTCTGCTCCCCGGGGCTCCCAGTATTACCCAGGGTCTGGCTAAGTTGTGCCTGTGCGTGGGTTGGAACTAGATGATCTTTAAGGTCTCTTCCAACCCAAACCATTCTATCATTTTTTTCTTTAATTCCCCTTACTCTCACAAAGAGATTAGATAATCTCCCATTTATTGCAATGTAAGGCATAGTTGAAATACATGATACAGTTTATCTCTGCAAAGCATGAAAATGCATTTAAAATAATTTAAAAACTGCTAGCATAACCAAAAAACATCAGTTTTATTTATATTCCTCTGGCTATTTCAGTGAGAAACAGATGGCCTTAAAGCACAGCTTTCACATGCAGCATCCTATCAACTTAAATGGCAAGAATTTTACATCCTGATTCCATAACTGGGGCCACATCGTGTTCTTGTCAAGGCTCCCTGTGATGCTTTATTCAGCAGAAGGATTCCTCTCCAGAAATCTGTCTTCACTTGTTACGAGGGAATTAAAGTGTCCAGTAGCTTATGTAGAGAGATACCTTACGTGAACTGCAGACCTTTGATTGCTTCTTTTGGGTAGCAAATGAAAACTTGCATATGCCCACGGTGACATTATGGAACTATGGGGAATATATTGTTTCTAAGCAGTGGTGGAAGTGTCTCCAAGTAAGAAAACAATATTGTAAATGCAAGGTATTTTTTTATAGAATCATAATATTTAGACACAAAGTTTGGATTTACAGAGACATGATTTAAATACTGTTCAAAAAAAAATGGAGACTTCACCTGGATGTGGGAATTGAGCTGAAATTGATTACGATCATGTTTCATTTTGTTCAAAGTATAATAGCCGTATGCTTAGTACATTGGACTGAAAAGAATTCCAGCATGCTTTGAAGTCTTCTGTGGAAGCTGAAAAATATTGCATAAAGATGCATGTTGTCAATACCCTGCATATTGTTTACAATAATCTAGTGTAGAAGTGCATCCTGGATGTAATGAACTTTGCTGTGGTCAAAAGAGGACAGGTGGATTCACAGTAGCTGAGGAAAAGTGGTGAGGTTTGAACCATGTCTGTGACTTGGTAGGCATTAGTGTTGGCTTACGTAGCATGCTCATAGGGGAGTATCAGCTTTTAAAATAACTGATATTAAGCAAACAAATTGAATTTCAGTGTAGTAGGAAATAAGGTTAAAAAAAAAAAAAGTAGAAAGAACCTACGTGTGATTACCTTGCTTAAACATAGGTAACATCTGTATTTGTGTCATATTGCACTATACCAATGATAAGGAACATCTGCATTCTCTTTGTTCACATTGACTATTTGACTTTTTTCAAGTATATTGACGTGATATAGAGTAACCTTATTACAATGATGTTATCCTATCACTTCAGAGTTTCAGATATTTTTTCAGTAAGAATTTCACTTCTCAGTTGGATCATTTTCTTCTTAACATTGTTCTTATGTAACTTGTGAAAGCAGGAAAATATTTGTAACTGTGATCCTTTAAATGTCAGGAGAATTTGTTTAGGGGGAGGAGAGAGGAAAAAAAGCTAGAAAAGCTGTCAAGTTTGCAGAAATAATCACTTTCTAAGTCTACAGGCCAAGATTTTCAAGGGATATATGATTCTGTGTATTACCACTCTAGGTACCAAACTTAAAAATGCAGGGAATGAATATCTTAAAGCATTTCAAGATAGATACAGGCATTATTTAGACTGAAAATCATTGTCACGAGTTGTACTGTTTTAATATTTGAAGTACTTTTTTTTCAAAAATGCAAAGTAAGTTATTCAGAAAGTTCTATCCTGTGTTTATAAATAAAGACTTGTTGCTTTCCATGTTAGTCAAGTTCTTAATTTTAGAATATTTAAAAATACTGTAATCCAATTAGGAAAATTTTACTTTGGGCTAATTCTGAAGTAGTGACTAGACTACATTTCTGTCATTAATTAACTGTAATTGTTTCTGAAATAATCATGAAAGAAGTACTATTTTAAAAAAAGGCCTCGTGATTATGATTTTATTTTTATAGCAGTGTGAAGAGTAGAAGATTTTCCTGAACTAGTTTGTGCTTGCATAAGCTGTTAGGAGTAGAAGTTGTATGACTACATGTGGTTAGTGGACTTCAAGTAGTAACCAGTTTTGAATTGAACTGTTGGGGCAGAAGCTAGGGATTTTTAACCTTCTAGTCGATGTACCAGAGCTAATTTTGAAAACACTTTGAGATTTAATTGTGCATTTACAGTGGAGTAACAGTAGTTTATTAATTCTAAAACATGAAATGATGCATAGCCATCTTAATGCATTATAATAATTATTTCAGTTGACATGATTTTTATGCAGTAATTTATTTTGACATTTCTATAATTAATTTCCTTTTATATATATATATATATACATATACACTCCTATTATGTTATTTTACTTATTTAAAAAGGGAACATTACATATTGAATACTGTACCTCAATTTTATTGTAATGATTTTACTGGTTACCAGGTGGGGTGGCAGTTGAAAAATTTGGTGAATGCACTACGAGAGGATCCGAGTGGTGTTATCTTAACTTTGAAAAAGCGACCTCAGAGCATGCTTACCTCAGCACCAGCTTTACTGAAAAATATGAGATGGAAGCCCCTTGCTCTGCAGGTAATGAAGCTTAATCATAAGTCATACACCATCATTTTAACTTTAGATTATCTGAATGATGCTTTATTGTGCTTCATCTCAGCAGCATATGGATTTACTCTTGTATGCTTTGAAAAATTGTTTCTGAAATGATTTCTCTGCAGCATGTTCTCATAGGCTCAATTGAAATTAAGCCTGTTATTAGAGCTTTTAAAAATTAAGAAGTAATAGTCTCAGTGTTTTACAATGTAGAAAAGTAGCCCAAAGTAACTTTTCTAGACAAGGAGAAACAAGCATACTTCAAAAACTGATAAATTTTAGTTTGACTTCTTGTTAAGTTCTCAGTGCAGTATAACCTCAAAGAAAGAGAGGAGTAAAAGATCTTGAGTTTTCAGTTTGATCAGTCATGGAGTTAGAGGAAAATTTATAAGGTGATTTTATTCAGTGAACCACTTGACCATCAAAATTTCCTCCTATAAATAAAGTCATATTCGTTTCAGAGTTGTCCTTGAGATTGAACCCCAGCACATAAGGAGGTGTAGCACATGATGTCCAGCTGGGCCTTTAATTTTAGTAAGCCTGCAATGTGCTGGAAACCATGGAATGGTTTCATTAAAGCTTTCATGTTTCACTCTAGGATAAAATGTCACTGTGATGGATTACATTAGGAATTAAAAGTTATGTGCAGACTGATGAAAGCATGTAACCAGCAGATGGAACTGACAAATCATCCCTTATTTTATTCAATTCAGGTAGAACAATGTTTAGAATTTTATTTTCTTTGCATAAAGAATACAATCTTGGGGACATTTCTATTGTTACAATAAAAGGTCTGATTTAAAATTAAGTACATTAGAGAGAGAAAAGACTTCTTCAAAGTTTGGGCAAAGGGGATAAGATATGGAAATGCCACTGCCAGTAGCTGTGATCTTTGCCATTTAAAATATTGAGATTTATAAAAAGAGCTAATGCCATGAAGAACTTCTTTCAAATATGTATATATATATGTGTGTGTGTGTATATATATATATATACATATTTATATATAAGTTATTTTATAATGGTTAAATGCATCATTGTATTTGAAACTGAGTAAGTTTTTAAATGACTGTGATGTCTTGGTCTTTCAGATACAAAGTACTGACTAGACATGTGACAAAAACTTTCAACCAAAAATATCTTATTAGCGTCTGAAAATAAATTTTTAAATCTGTATGCATTATATGAGTGTATGAAAGTCCATACTTGAAGGCTGCACTTTTATCATAGCTTTAGTGATAATATAGATACAAATGAAAAATGCTCATCATTGCTTTAAATGGAGTCAAATGCTTTCAGTCTAAATCCCCTTTCAGTGAGCTTGGTATTTCTTTGGGTGAATTGGGTCATTCTCCTAAATATTTCTTTTTGCTTCACTTTATCATTTGCCACGAGAATAAATACACTGAAGACCCCACAACAGAAGTTTCTGACATGGGCCATTCATGAAGACAATAACCAATAAGCAATTATTTCAAGACAGACTGCTCTGAAAGGGTGGGAAGAAATTGGATAGAAAATAATTTACACTATTTAAACTGAGTCCAGTAGGAAAGAGAGGATTCCTGTGGTCCTTTTACAGTGAATGCAGCCATGAGCTAAAGTTGTGGGTCTGTTTGAAACTCCGCACTCATTTCCAGAAGCAAAAATCCAGTCATCTTTTAGCGTGTTTTATTTGGCTCTGATTTACATCTCAGCATCCTTAGTTCAATACAGACACTAGGGTATTAATCAACTGATCTGTCTTTAGATCTCTGCTATGTACATATCTACTTACCATTCAGGTTTCTCATTTTCACTCCCTTTGGCCAGCAGACATACATAACAGATACTGGTTCATTCATCTGGACCTATTTCAGACTGATCTGCCTTAGGATGAGCTGAGTTGGACCTTGTGCATGCCTCTCTGTTTGATGATAAAGGGATTCTGAACAGCTAACTTAAATGTAGATTATCTGTTTTAGATAAGATGAGACTGACCCTTGATAGAGGTTTTTTGTAGTCTTACGGGTTTAAAGGGAGGAGAGGCAGTAATTGGAGTACTGGTTTTGCTGTGGGGTTTTTTTTGCTGGTAGCACAGAAAATATGAATATGAGTACACATAAAGATACTGTTAAACATCAGAGATGTAATTCTGGTATCACAGGGACATTGTTCTGATTGTATCAAGCATGACACCAGGAAAAGTCCAGAACCTCGTTCGACACTTGTGTGAAGTGTGCATATGTGTGTCTGTTGTAATTTGTGATTTTAGTGTGAGAAAAAACAATTTTCTTAAGTAGATTGAGTGTCAAAAAAGCTCCAGGGTGAAGTGAAGGCAAACTTCAGAAGCTACCTAATGTGGAGATTTCTGTTGTTAATTTATGCAGATCAGAGGTGAACAGATGTTAAAGTCAGCTGATGTTAAAATTTAAATGGAGCCTAAGTGTGAAATCGGTACTGTATGTTTGATTAATAACAAGCAATGAAGACAATCAGAGTGCGGTGTATTTTTATAGCCGTTACAAATATGAAGAAATTATATTTATTTAACAGAATTTACTTTAAACATTTCTGAAAAAAACATCTTCAGAAAAGCTGTATGTTTTGTAATTGCAATTTGCCCTATGGCTGTTGTGACATTTCTTATGATCCTGATTCATGTAAGGCTGCTGTTCTTTAACAGGAGCTTGGGAGGCAGTGAGAGCGGAGAGGTAGGAAAGGGATAGCAAATAGGAAAAAGCAAGGAAAAGCCGTACTTCCATCGCCTTTGGAAGCAGGGGAAATTACAATAACTTGTTTTCCTATATCAGGATGTCATGAAATAATTGAGAATGTTATAATTGTGCTGTCAATAATTGAACCATATGTATTATTCAACAGACACAAACTATAAGGAAGTTATGAGTCAGTAATAATTCTGTTAAAGTAAAAAACAGGAGCAAAACATTCAAAAGATTAGAATAAGATATGGGGATGAAATTCTGATATAATGGAAATTAGGATCTTCAAACTGGCTGCTGTGGGATTTTTTTGGTTCTGCAAATGGAGTGAACAGAGGAAAAATGTAGTGCCGTATCCTAATCAAATTGCAATGAGTGAGATGGGAAGGTGGAAGCTTGTCCTAATGTATGGAGGATGACACAAAAACAGAGACTGAGTTTCTGTGTGCATCCTCCCAATGAACATGCTTAACAGCTGTTTCAGCCAATGTAGAAGGTAAATATTTCAGTGAATTAAACTGAGACACATTTATATTGAGATGCTTTAATTGAGAACCTTCAAAATTTAATTTTAGCTGAAAGTGAGTAATGTCGAAGCATTATTGGTAAATTGCATTCTGCTTGTTTAGTCAATAATTGTGTCTAAGAACATGAAGTTTGCCATTTGCAGATACATGAAAAATGAGACTTAATGGAAAGATACTGAGTATGCCTGTAAATTGGGAAAGTGCAAGACAAATGTTTGAGCTCAGGCAGTGTGCAGGTGCTACCATCGTATACAGCAGTTTGGTTTGTGAGTGACAGGGCGTCCTGGTAATTAAAGTTTTAAGAACTTGCTGTCCACTGTTAGTGATCTAGATTAGCCATATGCCAGACAAACATTTGTGGTATCTGAGTGTGGAAAACACTTTTAGATCATTTGGATATTAACTGCTTACTAATTGGCGTAAATACTTCTTAGAATGTTCAGTGGTTTACTTTGAACAGCTCTGCCTTCACATTGCAGTCTTGCCATGAATTATGAGATAAATGCAGTCTATAAGATTACTGATTAATTCTTTGTTTTTTTCTTTTAGTAGAAATGTGGCATATTAATTCCTTTTGCAAATATTCTTATTCTTAGAATAAATATGAAAGGTTAGGGAAAAGAAAGAAGAAGAAGAATTAAGCATTCTGCGTAGCAGTCCTGAAAGTGATATCGAATGGTTTGATGTACAGTAAAATAATGCGATCATCCTATGGCCATACTATGCATCATTACATAATGAGTTCGTATTTACAAGTGCATTAATTCCGGTTCTGAGGTCAATCAGTACAGAAAGAAAAACATCCTTTTTTTTTTTTCCTTTGTGCCTTTATTAAAGGAAGTGCTGGTTGGTTGGTTTTTTTGTTTGTTTTCAGTCACTTGATGATTGTCTGTTTAAATATCCATCGGTATCCAACTTCTTGCAGATAATCAAAGTTATCCCTTGACGCATTCTGGAATTATGTCAGAATTTATGGAGACAAGGGATTTTTCAGCCTGTGTTTTTCATTATTGCTTTTATAACATTTGAATTAGGCAGCTGTGGCCTTGGGGAATTTTGTGGTTGCCTTTGCAATTGGAGGTATGCATTAATATGGTATTGTACCATAAATATTAAGAAGTTATGCCTGCAAAAGAAATCTTACAAAAGTTACTTTTTCTGATACTGATCTGTTGTATGAATGCCTAGAATGATATTTCAGAGTGCAACGTTTGTATTTTGGGCTGCTACTGAATATGGTGAACAAACCAAATAAGTTTTAACCTTTAAATTTTTTATTTTTCTTGACATAGAGGTGACTTAATTGTCTTTGAACTCTCCAAATTTTTGCCTGGTTCAAAACCTAACTTAAATAAACATGCTCTACTCTACACTGTCTGTTTTATTTCTCCTTTCCACTTTGTCTTATTTTGGGGAGGTTTCAAAGGGAGGTTCCCCAAAGTGCTGCTTGAACAAGGATGGAAGGTTCAATAGAGAAGATTCTCAGATTGTATGAAAAATCTTATGTAAGTTGCTATCATCACACTAGTAAGAAGCTAGCTGCAAAGTCCTCCTTTGCCTTCTGGAAAGTGTTTTGTTAATTAGTCAAAAGAAACTGGTATTTGTCTACAGTATGTAAGAATCTTAATCCAGTTTCTTTATAACACAGAGAAGGAGTGGTAGAGCAACACGTTGCCATACTTCATCTAATTTGGACTGTGTCCTGCCACTATCAGTGGAAAGGCTCTTCCTGATGTCAGTGAGAATGGTGTCA